CAGGTGCTACACTTCATGAAAAAGAAAACTTCTATCTGATATTATTGAGTCCTGTCATGATCACCATGACAAGGGAAAAAGAAAATTAATCATCACCCACCTGACAAGTCAGAACTGAATTCTTCTTGTTTTCAGCAGTAGTAGAACAGCCCCTGTTGCCATCTTGTAGAGCCATCCCCTCATTTGACTTGCCCAAATCTTTGCATGAAGGCTGCAGATATACTTGTGGATGAGTTTACACTAGTCAATCAAAAAATTATTTCCACTGATGCAATGATTATTCCACCATGACACAAGGTACCCAGGCAACCAATTGGTTTTTTTTTTTTTTGCACCTGTTGACAAACACATTGTCCTTTGTTCCATTTTCCGAGAGATAATAAAGAAATGTGCACAAATTGGTTAGGAGTTGAGAGCTGTTATGGAGCATAGAGATACACCTTATGAAATTGAAATCAGGAGCATAGGATTGACTGGTTTAAAAAAAGAAAAAAAAAAAAGGACACCAGCATTAAAACATGCCACTTGGAAAGCTGGACAAAATGGGACTGTGCCCTTGGTTCACAGAATGAATGGCAACTGAGACATACACCTCAAAATTACTTGAATTACAGTGACTTTTAAAAATGAACTAGGAATTGCTACATAGCAGCCTTTCATATCAGGATGTCCTCAGCAAATTAGTTTTCTAGCAAAGCCATCAGCAAATTTTTTTCCTCACAAAACTGACCATGGAAGGAATACCTGATTACCTGAAGCATCATCCAACAAGACTTCCCTTGCAATATTAGATTTGATTCCCTTGAAGAATTTCCTTGCAATATTAGATTTGATATTTAAATTTTAAAAATTTGCTGAAGGCCTGGACATCCTGAAATGAAAGACTGCCATGCAGCAACTCCCAGTTCATTTTTAAACATCACTTTAATACATTATCTTCAATAATTTTATGAAATTCTGCCTCTATTTTCTAAATTCAAGCACCTTTGATATATTAAAATTATAAGAAGAAACATTTAGGGTAAAACCATCTAAGATTGGACAATGCCCAAGTTTGGACACTGAAAAATAGTTATAAAACAATTACAAGGTCATCCACAGAAACAGTTTTTCCAAGCTGTGAATATCTGTTTCTGAGGGAGAGCTCACCAATGCTTGGTTCTGTAATAATGTACGTGATAGTGTCTGAACTTTGATGGTTTTACCCTACTTCAGTATTATTGGCACATACAACTTATTCATTAACTGACCTTGTACCTGCTCTATTACCAGATACCAATCATGAATCTCATCATGGAAAGGATGGGGAAAGATGATGAAAACTTAACCCCTATTTACTAGGCATGTCCAAACTTGCAACTTTGAGGTATGAGGGGGGCAAACATGCCATCTAGCAGGGGTTTCATTACTGTGTTTGGATTACATTTATGTAGGAATATGTATATGTACAAGGGGCAATCAGTAAGTTAGCAAAATTCAATACTGAGAATCAGGGTAATTCTTTGAATGTATGCTGTACATGTAAACCTATCTCTTAGTAGTGGTTTCCTCAACAAATTTCCAAGAGATATTATTTAAATATGAATTGGAGTTTTTTTCTGTTGAGTGATACTCAAGTAAGAAATCAACCAATATTGAGCATTGTTCTGTGATGATGTTCTTGACCAAGGACGAGAAGTGTGGCATGCACATCCATGACCAAATGTGGCCAGTGTATAGTGATGGTTCCCCATCACACAGAACTATTGGGAAGTGGTCTAATTAATCCAGGGAAAATGAGTCCATTGAAAATTACCACAGATGCAGGAGGCTTAGAGACATCATCTCAGAAGAAAAATTTGCAAAATCAGACACCTTGGTTCCTGGTTACAGGTGAATGAAGTTGTAAAATTGGCCTTAGAACTCAGTATTCCTCATGGGAGTAATTTAACCACCCTCCAATAAAATTTGGGCCCATTAAAATGCTTCAAAACAAGGGACACCCCCAAAAAGAGACAAACATAAACAGTGACATACCTGTTCCTGCAGGTCATGTGATAAGCTCCTGCCCCTCTTCACTTTAACCCAGATGATTTTCATGGCACTTGGGTTCTGGCAATGAAATTAAATAGAGAGGTCATTGTAAGCTGCGACTATATGTCACTATGGAGTCCTGCATCATCTGGATGAACTAGCTGAAAAAAAGCAATATATTTAATCTGGGGGGGGGGGGGACATTTAATTTCAATGTTTCTGAAACTGAAATACACATTTATAATCACAATGGAAAATTACTATCAACTCTCATCCATATGAGAAGAGTGTTATTCCAGGCATTCAAAATGTAAACTATTAATGTTTAAACAGCCGTGGTGCGCATATGGTTGGATTTAAAGTTTCAATCTCGGTCTGTAAATGAATCGTACTGTGGGGTTGGAGATGCATTCGTGTTCGTGATTTCGCAGGAAAGTGTTCATGAATGTTGTCGATGTGGTTCTTGTCAGTTAAAAAGCCAGAGAAGATATTCGCCACAGCTGCTCGGGGCATGTGCCGAGCTATGAAAAAAACCTCCCCTCTTCAACTCCTAGTGTGGGATAACTAAATTCTTAGTGAACTTAATCATTATGGCTTAGGCCTACCGCATATCAACGTCCAGCTCAGCCATAAGAGCCCTGCGGTAACGTCTAGGCTGGCTTATGATGGATTAGAAAGAAGCGCTGATGAGGAGGAGCAGAACACGACCGAGGATGAAATTAGAGATGACTCGTGTCCCAATAATGGCACAAAGGAAACACGCATCACTGCCATCTAGCGGCAGATGAGAAAACAGTGTGTGAGCGTCGACCTTCCTTCGAAATTCCCAGAGATGTCAAAAGTGCCATGCCGTAGTGTTTTTCACGTTGGTGATACCCGATGGCCAGAACCCATCACCGTGCAGGGCAAAGCATGGGTGCACCCGCTCAAACAAGGCTCGCCGAAAGATCTCACAATTCCCAAGGCATAGACGCAGAAACAGGAGGGACAAGGAAGAGTTGGTCGGTCGGTCCCCCTCCCCCCGTATTAAGAATAATATATTTCATTTTTCCGTTTTCGTTGGAATGGGCACGAGATCCTGAAGAAATCATTCCACTCCGACTCTGAAAACTTGCGATCTTACCCTGAGGTCGAGCGATCGAAATCTCTACTTCACGCTCCCCTTAAATGTCTGTAGCAAAACCCATTGGGGGTCACAAAACATGTAGCAAAAAAAAATGCTCGCTGCATAGGAGGATTGAATCCGAAGCGATGGGTTATAACTGACAGCAGAGAGGTTGCGTGTTCGTTCTGGAAGAGTCGATCCGGACTCCAAACTGAGATTGAAAGTGGCAAAGGCAAAGTAATTAAATATTAAGGTGATATTAAGGTAATAAAAGTATTAAGGCAAAGTAGTGGAGTCCTCCCCGAGTTCCCCTCATTAGGGAAGGAGGAGCCTCCCATCTCCAACGCTTACGTAATGCGCACTTGCCCACTTTCCCTCGTAGCTTGTCCGCCGTCGACCAGCAGTCGGTTGTCAGAGCCGGTCTGCCGTCGACCTTGTGAGTCGTCGGCCAGTAGTCGACAGTGACCGACAGCAGAGTCTGTCCGCAGTGACCGAGCAGCAGCGTCGCGTACGAGTGGTCACCAAAGCCAGGGGCACACCGTATCGAGTGTGGGTCGGCGAATATCCGTCGGAGGTCGCCAAACAGGGAAGGACGGAGGACCGTTGTCAGGAATCCCGTTAGCGTGAGGCAACTATCCTTTCCTCGATGTTGGTCCTCATTATTGTACGATAAATCTCACGCAGTTGCCCGTTGTTCTTTAATATCACCCTTCGCGTCCCAGCCCGAAGTTCAGGATAACTTAGAGTGAACCCCTTGGAGTCATCGGAACGCCCGAGAGAGAGAGACGCTTCCGCACCACTTCGAGGTTCCTCTTACGAACCTCAACGAACACGCTACCTTCTCGATTGTTGTCTTGATTATCCAAAGTTAACAAATGCGCATGTTCTTGCACAACCAATGGGGAATATATGAGAAGGGGGGAGGAAGCAATAGGGGAAAGCTCCCTCACGTTAGTGGGGATCTCAAAAGTGGTTCCTTCCCGACTCTGGGGAGGACCACGATTCATTGCCGAACTTTGACGCTCGCATCAGAACTGCGGCAGCCCACTGTCGACTGTCGTACCCTACTGACCACTGCCCGCTGCCCTGCCCGACCGTCGACTCGAGACTCGGTGACTGCGACAGGGCAGGACGAGGGCGGGGAAAGGGAAAGTGGACAATTGGGGGACTCTTCCCCCTCTACTCGTTACATCGTAGCAGTGCACGAGGACCCCACATGGGAAGAAATGGTCGCTCTTCGAATTCAAACATCCCATATCTCAGTTCTCTAGGGCCCAAGCGTAGGTTTACACATGGAAGCATACTAGCGCAAAATTGCTCTCAGAATGCCAAGGATTTTTTACATTCTGCATGAAAACGGAGAGGAACCAAGTTTCCTAGAAAGAGTTATCAAAGCAAAAGGTCTTTCGACACAAATGGCATAAGCATATGCACTCTCTTTACGGGAAAGCGGTTTTTCGCTACACTAACTCTAAGTCTTCCGCAACTCGATATCCAGGTGCTCCATCCACAAGAACCAGGGTTATGAGATATGTCTGGTAAAGTCTGATTCTTGCAGAGAACATCTGGTTAATGCCAATACCTATAGGTTTTGAAACCCTAAAGTTGCTGTATTCCCACGACCATGCAGATTCTTTTTCTAAAAATGAAAGATTTCAGACAATCATCTTCTGTTCAACTAGCGGTAGACATGAATTTGCTGAGTCTCAATGCATTCTGCCATTCATATTCTAAATGAGAATCACATTCCCTTTTTGCATAGCATAATAATTTGAAAAGCCTCTTAGATATAATAACACATATTCATATATATATATATTTATTATGTGATATTCATCAATGCAAAAACCAACCATCAATTTCACAGAATAACCAACAATATGGGCAAGAGCTACAAACAAAAAACGGGAAAGAAGGCAATCACGTAGGATAACCTAGATATTTCCACTTCCGCTCAATGGATGCACCGATCCCAGAATATTCCTGAACAAACAAGCTTGGGAATTTTCCCAATAGGATTTCCAGATCTCCAGCTTTCATCCCAAGATCCATGCATTGGAGGTAGGAGAGAATGTAGTCTGTCGATGCACCCCATGGATGGATGTGCAGAAATGTGGACACCACACCTAAAAATGAGCAGAATCAATCATACTCTTCAGCTAGGGATACTCACATGGAAGTCCCCCCTCATGCAAATCTTTTGCATCCAACACCTGAATAAAAATTTCCCATTGTAGCCCTGAAAGCAAGAGATCCAGTTGCCTTATGGCTAAAATTGGCAAATTTTAGTTCCAAAAAACCAAAGGTGTTGGGCAGTCATGAGTAGCATACTGCCACTCAGAAGAAACTACCACTCAAGATCAGTTCACCATATGCCAGGATATAAAGGGTGGGCCAAAAAACAAAGCTATCATTTTTGATGAGTTGTCAATCTCATCATACGCTGCCGATCCCAATTTAATTTGGTAGGCTTATAGAGTGACTCAATTGCAGATTTGATGCCAAATTTCAGCTTTCTGGCTTTAAAATTATATGAGCTGTACATATTTTTTGATAACCCACGATGAAATTTGCTGTTGAAGGTATCAATGTGAACCTGATGCCAGGATGAAAGGGAGGGCAAATTCATGACCTTCCATTCCATGCATGATGCTATACTGTAGAGGAAGATTGGAAAGCACTGCACTAAAGATTTATTGATCCAGCTGTGGTGTCCCAGACAAGTGGTTAGTGTTCAACAGATTGGAGGGAACATTGAGCACCTTTTCAGTTGAAATGAGCCTACCTAAGCCAATTTATGTATTTTCGTTTTTGGCAATTGTGAATTTTGTTTTTGTTCCATTTGTTTGCCTGTTTGTTTTGTCAGTTGTGAGCAATGTTAAGTTTGAAGTAAAAATGAACTCTTACGTTTTCAGTGATGAAAAGTTAATGAAATGCCATTCTTACAGTTTTTGCAAAGTTTGTTTAAAATCTGGTATAAGAACCCCAACTGAGATGTGTGTACAAATTTTATCTGAATTGGCAACCTACAATTGGAATGACAACACGCCAAAAGTGATAGCTTTGTTTTTTTGGCCCACCCTGTACAGGGTGGCACAAAAGTCATGCACCATAGAGGATTTCACTGTTGCACTACATTAATTCTTGTCTCTTTCATTACAAGTAACTGATGGCAGCAAAATTAACAAAAGACAAGGGGGTGGAGCTAAGATATGTTCAAACATTATGTGTACTATGAATCGAAGTGATACTAAGTGTACTATGAATCAAATCTTATTAACCCCTTCACTGGCATGTTTTCAGACACAAATTGTTTTTGAGACAAGACCAGCTCATCCATGCCAGTGAATGGGTTAACCATTAGCATGTTATTAAGCATGTGAGCTGAATGGCACAAAACTACATTAGTAAGTCCAACATCTTCGAACAGGCATAATGCTGTGGCATGTGCCAGAAAAGAATACTCTGCGTGTTTGCTGATGGGAATGCTTATAAGTGATAAATGGCAACTTCCAAATAATAAAATGAGCAAACATGCAAGTTGAGTGAATTCAACAGATATGAGATCTAACACATCACTGAAGAGAGTTGAGGAGAAACTGACCAATGACCCTGATCTCCTGATGTGTGAGAATCACTGTGTCTGGTGGGAGGTCCTTATAAGATTTCTCATTCTTTTCTCCAAGTGACTTCTTGTTCCTGTCATCAACTGTGTTTCCCTCCTCTCTCTTGTCTCCCTGGACATCAGCAATCCACTTCTCATCAGCTTGCTCCTTCAACCGGCTCTCCAGCAATTGCTATTATGTGACACTCAGTCAGCATTTGCAATAAGACTATAAAAATACAAGCAATAACTTTCATACCTGCTGCACATTCTTCAGGGTCTCTTGCAAAATCTGAAGCTGACTTTCCTTCTGATTCATATCTGTCTGGAAGTCGGCTTTCAAGATCTCCAGCTCATTCTCATAAGCCTCTACCTTCTGTTTCAAGCTCTCATTCTCCTCCTGAAGGAATCAATCCATTCACCTTCACCTTCCACTACGTTTTTGTTCATAATCCTAACCAAGAACCAATAGCAGACCTTGAGTCGATCCAGTTCTTCTAGATCCATATCACTGTCATGTTTGGCCTTCTTTTTTGGAGCTTCATCATCTGAATCAGACACTTCCATTTCTTCCTCTCCCCTCTCCTTCAATGCAGTCTGGAGTTGCACATCCTTTATGTCCTGCCCATGGGGACATACAGTACTCAATATAAGTGACCATTTGAAGTAAGAAAATGCTTCACTACCACTTCTGCCTTGTACAACTTTTGCCTGAATTGCATCAAAAATCAGGTTATGCATGCTTACCAAGGCAAAATGGTAACTTGACAAACTTAATTGCGGGTGCTAAAATCAGTAGCCAGGTTATAGGTAATTCATGAATTATGCTGGGTGTCCAATTTAGCAATTACTCCAACATGACTTCTTTTCTTATTTTTTATTCATTTATAGAATGGGGCAAGGATGTTGAAAAGCTGTGCTTCACTAGCAGACTGGATGGCATTGAATCTCTTGTTTCACAAGAGCAACTTACCTGACTTGGAATTCCCCTCTGGAACTTGCATATAAAGACTTACCTGTAAAGTGGACTATTACCTGTTCAAGGTGAGAAAATGATGTAGAAAATATGACCAGTACTGGAGCTCTGCCAAAGGGGTAGCATGTCCTAGACCATGACTAACAAGACCTAAGTGGGACCAGACCAGAGTTGCATATGTACCAGAGGACATCCCAAAAATCTTTCCACAGCAACCTGAGCAAGTTGGAAAACTGGAAGGAGAATATTACCTAAGGAGCCACACATTTTATTATGAAGGCAATCCTGCATGAATCCTGTCCAGTGAATGAGCTTATCCTGTTCACAAAATTCAAGTCTTTGGGTACAATGTTATATAATTTGTTCAACAGGGAGACCCACTCCCTCCCTTGCAAAATCCGATATGGTGAAAGGTCTTTCAAAGACATCAAAATCAAGTCTACTCCAGTCCAAACCACTCCTCCAGCTCATGCATTCTTTGAAAGGGCAGGACCTGTGCATACACAGGGTGTCCCATAAGTCACTATACCATTTCAAACTGCAATATTTTCCAAACTGCAACATGCAGAACACTGTAGTTGGTATTGATGGAAAGAACATTCTTTAGATTTTTTCTTCACAACAATGACTTGGAATCAAACTCAAACGGAAATAGCTTCAAATGCATATTAGAAAGTTGTACTTGTTATGGGACATTTTTGGTACACCTTGTTGAATCCTCTTTTACTAAATTGCTAAACTTCGTTTTTCTCTCCTAACTTCAGATAGACTTGAGAAACAGAGAAAAAAATTATTTCATGTTATTTGCTTTCACTGTTATGAGAAAAGGCTTCACAATTGATGCTGGAGCAATGAAGAAAAGATGCAACCAGGATGGAGATCTTTGAGAATCCCATCAGAGTTCAAAGGGAATTCTTGTGATTTTTTGGTGTTGAACCTCAAGCCAAATGTATTGATATAAGCAGGGGGCATTTTGAGGCACTTTCAAAACTCAGAAATATCTCAATTTTTAAAAAGATAATACCAAATGACATGCTGTCTTTCAGTCAGTTACTTCTTTTTCTAATCAACGTAAATGTGATTTTCCTTAAATGGTATAGTGACTTATGGGACACTCTGTTTACTGAGGAAGTCCATCCCCTCTCTCCAATCTGAAATGGCATGCTGCTGGTAAGAGGGTCATAAACTAGTTATCTCAAGACCTGTCTCACATTCAAAAAGCATTTCTCTTTTTCCTCCCTTTCCTCTCCAACACCAAGACTGCTTTGAATATTTCCTATTCATTCCTTTACCTTTGCAATAATTTAATCAATTATCCTAATTTAAGGTCTTTCTATCTCCTTCTCATTTAGAAATCAATATCTTTTTCACATAAATGAGTCCTTCATCAAATGAACTGAATTAATTTCAGGGTAAGTTTTTCATCAAAAAAAGTATTGATTCACATGCATATTGGAATACATGCTCAAGGAAAGCTTGCTTATGGGAAAATGCCAGGTAATTATCTTGTTCCAAAATAAAGGTAGGGGCAGGATGAGAAAAACCTGATTAAAATTCCTACCTTACAGTAGACAAAATTTTCTTTGCATTCACTTCAGTTTTTGTATCATACAAGATCACTTGTGGGGGAATGAAGGCAACATAAAGCTAGGAATGACATCATGAAAGCTTGCTGTGCAAAAGTTGTGTAGTGGTCAATTGATACCATGGTAGGGTAGAAGATAAGAAAGGGATGCATTTAATGAAAGGCAATCCCCTTGATTAATTATCAAAAGATGAGAATTATAAGGGGTCTAAGGGATAGTGGTAATAAAGTCTTTGTCTCAGATGTTTCACCTGCTCTTCACTTCAATGCAACATTTCAGAATCTACAAACCTAGTAGGACATCATCATGCACCAATCTGTCCACTAACAACTGAAAGAAAATGATCACAACTTTGTGTCAAAAAGCAAGAAACTGAAATTCTTTTATATAAGATGAAGAGATCAAATGGGCTGCTCTGACTGGACCATCTACAAAACCCAAGATGATGTCTCACACTCTGATGATATTGTGATTGCCATTGTTTTTCAGATGACACGCAGGGATATTCACAAGTGGGGAGCCAGTTTCTTCCCTGTAATTATCAATTGAATTATCACCTTTGATTTCTTATGTACATAAGTCACAAAAAACCCTCCACAGACCATTATTTCTGTGCTTGCACACATTCTCAAATAAGAAACTAGCCAAGCACTTATGCATTCATATCAGTTGAAAAAATGTAGGCCTGCTCAGTAGAGTATCTTCCAAGCAATTACCATGAAGGTGAACCAAGGACTGATGAAGTCCTGGCAAAGGGACCCATCTTCACCCTCTACATCACAAAGCAAATAGAGCATGAAGCAAGTCTGACTCAGTAAAATGTTGGATTGCAGGCAGAGGGGAAGGAAATAGGAAATCCAGATGACACTAGGAAGGGTTCATGGACCAATCCATCCAAGTTGAGTTCCCCCCCTACCTCCAAGTACAAGGTCATTAGACAGGTTTTCCATATCATCTAAACTCCAGGAACCAATCTAATACTTATGGGTCTGATGAGCAGCAGTTATGTAAGTTCTTACCAAGAACACATGATTCCTGTTTCAGACAACTAGAAACAGGATCATTCCCCTATCTTTGAGCCTCTGGATAAAATGCAACATGGATCCTGAAATTTGCTTCCTTCATTTTGGTGGAACTTGCAGATGGCATCATGGGAGAAGTGATTGAGCTGTAGATGCTGGCATTCCAAAGTTCAAAGGTTTGATGACAAACTCTTCAAAATACCTTTCACAAAAATGAATGAACAAACCAGATATTGAAATTACTCCAAACTGGGCAAAAAATGCTGGTGGAAATGATATAGGAAGTGGTTAATAGACCTGGACAGTCTTAGGAATGAACAGAACAAGAAACCCTGATGGAGGAAGAAGGAAAACTTGACCTATTGGAATTCAAGTTGACCTGTTCATGCTCCAACTTCTCCAAAACCCTTCAAGCATCATTTTTTGGGGTGAAAGACATTCCTGGTTGGGCATTCCAATTCAAATGCTTGAGTGACATTTTTTTATACCTCCAGGACCTTACATCTTTCCCATTTGTATCTGGGTGAAGAGTCAAGGGCTTTGCAAAGGATTGTATTTCAACATTGGACTTCAGTTGAGATCAGAAGAATGCCGACAGCCATAATGTGAGGATCAGCAAGATGACCAAGACCCAAAAGAAGTCACCAAAGATGAGGTAGGCTGCCAGGAGAAGACTGAATGTCAAATCATCACATGGGCTTTGACCGAACTTTCATACACCACTCTAAAAATCCAACATTTGGATGGAACATAGCTATGAAAGAAAGGTTTAAGAGTCATTATATGGCAGAGCTCCAGCACATACTCAAATGGTTGTGAAATGTAGTTACATCCATGATGTCTGATTTGCTCATCAATTATCAAAAAGGCAATGAAATGTACAACAATGGAAAATTTTACACTTACACCATCTTCAACAATGCATGTTCCATTGGCCCATGTATAAGATGGCACAAATTTACCAGCAAATTTCTGCCATTCATCCTCTAAGGTAGGGAGGTTGCTCATCTCACAGCAGTTACAGTACCAACAAAGCAGGAAAAGGAGATATCTCTTAATGAGAAAGTGTGTTCGAAGTGATATAGTTATATTTTACATTACTGCAATGCATGGAAGGAACTTCACATAGCCCATGGGACAATGGCATCAAACTCAAGCACTCACATCCTCAATCAGTCTCCCAGGACTTCAGTATGAGCAGGGAATGAAGAAGAGAAGGAGAAGGATATGGGAAATACAGAAGACTTACAGCAGCCTGCTTCTTCCATTGGTCAATGTTCTTGCGCTGTGCCTTGGTGAAGTGGTCCCAAACCTTCTGCCGACACGCAGCCTCAAACACTTTCTCTATCTGACCGACTGCAGCGGAACATCAACATTACCCAGTCTGTCATCTCATTCCCGAAACAGATCATGCGGAGAACAGCATTGATATGGATATGCATGCACTCATTCATGAAAACATCCAATACAGTGAAACCAGGTGGCTTCCTTTTTTCTTTCCAGTCCTCAAGTCTTACCTCAACATGGAAGGAGCTTGCGATGGTTAGGGTGCAGTGGCCAACATGCCCATGCTCATGGCATCCTATAGAGTTGCCCTCATCAACAAAGAAGTAACTGGATCTTTAGCTCTGACCATATCAGACAGAGTGGTTATAGTCACTTCCATTCCAATCTAATCATCAAGCCAATCACTTTGGCATCAATTACACCAGCAAGCCAATCAAGCTTGAGAAACAAGTGGAAGTGATAACTTTTGCAACTCAAGCAAAAATGACATAAATGTTGACATGACAATAGAGTGAAAACTTTGCATAATTATACTGTTTTGTAAATTAAGCAACTTCCTTGTCTTTTTCTCAGGCTTCCATTCTTCAAAATTTTTTCTACTTGGCAAGTCTAAAATGGGGGAATAAAAGGAACCATAAAAGTCCCAATAATAAGTTTATGAATGCCTCCACCATTCAAAGGTAAGCTCATGATGGATAAAAGCAATTGGACTCTTGCATGATGACTTCCCATACATGGATCCATGGGAAGGTACTTACATCTTTTTCAATTTTGGACTTGAGGACTTGAGAGATTTCAACAAAAATAGATTTCCATTCTTTGCAGGCTGAAGGCCTCTGGGGTTCTGGCAGAAGCTGTTCATTCATTCTACACAGCTGTAATCCACCAAAACCTTTAATGCTGTACTTTGCTATCACACCTCACTCTCTGCATGGATTTACGGGAAAGAATGGAAGAAAAGGACAGGTAAGCTGACTAGCATACCTACATAGCATAATCTGCACTAACATACCTACAAGACATGACAGGGAATTTCCTATAGAATTTTCCTTCACCAATATCTTGAGGCCAAATCTAGGCCTTCTATATGTGCCTTCAGAATCACAGCAAGTGGATCAAACCAAGCCCATGCATGAAAGAATAATACAACAAACGAATCTTCATATCAGCAACACTCTGACATTCAACTTGTAGCTCTCACTTTCAGAAGCAGACTAGCTCAAGCTTGGAAAAACCTCTCCAAAATTCTGAATCAAGCTCTCATATATATATGTCTTTCAGAAATGAGATGCTTTTGCAAATGAAAAGATGGATCAATCCTCCTTCATTACCTGACTGTGCCTTCCTAACATCCAGAGACATGAGACACTAGATTGATCAAAATAGGCCACAAGAACAGAACTATAGCAAGGTAACAAAACCATTGGGGAAAAAAACTGTTTCCAGAATGTGCAAAGCATCCCCCATGATGCTGCCTCCAGATCCATGTGCTGGCACTGTCATAGTGAACCAGCGAGAACCTTGAAAATGAGTGTATTCACTGAGGCCTAAAGTGAAACTGATATCACCCCTGCACATCAAGTCAGTGGCACTACCAACCATTTTTACAAGTCCAAGAGAGCCAAGTACTCCAACCAGAAAGTAGATATCTTTATCAAGACAGCTGAAAGAAGCTCTCTCTTAGGCACATATCATTGTATTAAGCCTAATTCAAAAGAACACATTAACATTAGTTAGGTACAAAAAATATAGGTCTTTGAAAACATAATTCTCAAACATCAATATACCAATGATATACATAAACAAAAGCCTTCATGGATACCCATGAAAGGTAAATCCTGGTATGATAAGGTGGAGTCAATACTGAGAAAACTTAGACTCTATTGATAATAATTTTAAAAAGGTTTCAAGTGGTATTGAAATCTAAAATGAAATCTATCTTTATTTGTGATTTGTAACACTATGAAATGAAGTGCCGCAATAACTGTTACAAAGATAATAAGTAGTCTCCACCAGTAGCAAAAACGAACAAGAGATTAGGTAGATTAGGTAGGTAGATACAAACAGTAGATTAAAAAAGTGATTTACAGGGTAAGTCAGAAATGACCCCAATCTATTAAGACTCATGGAATGGAAAACAATGCCATTACCAAAGGAAAGCATTTTGCTCACGAAAAAAAAGATATTTATCCTACAATCTTTAAAGAAATGATAATAGAAATCCATATGGAACATGCCAATCACATCTCTGAAACACCTGTTGCTTGCAACACTGTTTCCAGATTGAATTTGTCCCTCCCTCCCCCTGGGGGAAAGTCCATTGATTGCAGGCAGTGACATTTGGCAAATGTAGATTTCATGGACAATTTTTATCAAGTGGATCCTCTAAAAGTAGTCCTTTCTCTACTCTTGACTAAGGAATGTGAATTCAATACAAATACAGGATGCCAGCCTCAAAACATTGATGGAATTGCTAATTCACAGTGAAACAGATCTTGGCACATAGATAAATTGGAATTACCTAAATAGCAATGGTGATGCACTCTTTGATTAGATGTTTTTGTGCAACACTGTATAAACTCAATTTGTAAATCCACAAACAAAAAACAAGCAGTCCCATCTATGGCTTGTGTTTGAGATGGTTCGATTTTCTGAGCATATACCTCTTCAATCCTGGTGTCCAGGATTCTGGATGTTTTGATTTCTATGCATTATTCAATACATACTACTTGGAGCAGGAAATCCAATTTTGCAGGAGTGTAGACATCTTAAGGAAAGCAAATTAACCAAGAGCAATGAATTTAAGGAGATACTTCAAAAGTTGAGCAGTCTATATTTTAAAGAGGATGTCCCAAGTAGTAAAATGCTTGAAATTAAAGAGGCTAGAGGCAGATCCATACAGAGAATCAACCCGGACCCTGAATCCTACCTACATTGGCAAAATGTGATGCAGCTCTAGTAATTTTAATACAAAATTATGTACAAAATATTGATCCTGTGAACTTATGTTAATTGAAGAAATAGAAATGTTGTATTTCTACACTACTTCTTGTTTTCCAGTAATGATAGATTTTTATCCTCCTTGCTTCTAAGTTTTGTTTTTCTGATACAAAATTGCCTGGTGTAACTGGTTTGCCAAGGCCCAACCAATTCCTGTGGCTTCTTTCTCACAAATTCATATTCTCTCCAAGATTGGGCATAGGCTAAGCCTACTCTCTGGCCAAGGCAAGGTCCCTCTAGGTGTTACATCTAAACTGTACTTACTAATGGCTAAGTCCAGCCATTTTCAGTTGACTCCATCAGCCTATACAAAGGCTTTAGTCTAATGTTACACCATGACTGCTGATCAAGCAATTAATTAGGCTTAACAAGGCCTATTCATTTCAACATCAAGACCTCATTCTCTCCAAATGTCAAATGGCTTCCTTCCTTCAAGGGTATAGTTTGATATTGATACTAATTAGAGCTGACACGATACATGGTTTGTAAAACCATTGGTTTCATCAGGCTTCACAAGATGTGAGCAGAATGAGAAGGAAAGCCCAAAATCTTGCAGATGCACACAAGTTATTAGATTCAACTAAGCCATGAAAAATGAGAAAACAGAGAAAGGAAAATGGGCCCCAAGACAATGAAAGCAACTTCAGAATGGAGAAGGATTAACACCTTATCAAAGGAATTTTTTTGCTGCATACCAGAGCTTTTTCTGCCATATGTGCTCATAAGCAATTACCTTGAAATATGCAGAATATGCATATGCCTTTTGGCATTCTACTCAGAATTTTGCAGACCATGTTAATGCAGGGATGCCTAAAGGTGGTGAGTGCAGTATAATAGCAACAATTTGAATGCCAAAAGGCAGTCACCCCTCACTTTTATGGGTTAAAAACTATTTTTTGTTAACTTTTCTATTCATCTGCATTGGTCACTTCCTGCATGATGGCACAGAATAGGCTAATATCTAGATTCACAGTAGATAACATGAATGATGCCCAATGTTTACTGGATAGGCTCACACACAGATGGCATCTGCAGGCATACTGCATTGGTATTGAGGAAACAGGCACTCCCACACTTGTATTAATATCAAACATTGAAAGAACAAAACAACAGATTGTGGATATACATCTAAATTTCCAATATCAGACTGATTCCAATTTTGATATGGTAGCACATTGAGTTATTTCTGACTGACCCTGGAACTTTAACGAGACAATCTTAACAAAATGTAATGTTGTGTCTCAGCTGTGAGAGATGTTCCAAAGAGGATGCAACATAAGACTTACATTGGATTAGAATGCCCTGCATTTGCTGATGAATTTGTTCCTTGACAACACGGAGCTCCTCTTCATGCCTGGTCTTTTCATTGACTAGTCGCCTGACATGAGAATTGGTTGCCTGGATCATGGAATAGAAGACCCCCACATTGCGCTTGCTGCAGTCACCCCGATCCAGCCATGTGACTAGTATTCTCACTGCCATTAGGAATGTAGAATCATCTGGAAAGTACCAGGTAGAGTTCCAAGTGAAATTCAATCTGGTTCCACCAGAATTCAAACTCAATAAAAAGAGCAAACCAAGGCAGCCAACCTCAACAAAATGATTTCATCATAGAGAAATAATTATATTCATGATGTTTTATTTTTTTGACAAAAATAAAAATGCCCAAAAATTAAATCATGAATCATTTTTATCTACTTGGTTCAGACATTGATTACCTTTGAGTTTTTCAGAGATACTCTGAGCTTCACTCTCTGTGAAGTGCACCACTGCAGGAGGAGACACAACATTGCGTTCCAGCTGTTCTCTGTGGCGTAGTTCCCGCTGCAACTGACGTTGACGGCATTCAAACTCATACTGGTCATCCCTGGCTTCTGCATAGTCTACATGCAGCCTGCCACTGCTCTCAGGTCCTGATCCAGTCCCCATTCGCACCTTATATCCTGTTTTAAAGCCATGGTATGAGAAGCATTTAAAAAAAACTATGAACTCATACTAATGTCATCTATTGATATTTAAGCACCTTTCCATGTCAGTCTACTAAGACTGACATGGAAAGGTGCTTAAATATCAATATGCTTAAATATGTGGCAAAACATCTACCATCTTTTTGAGTGGCTTGGTACAATATCTGATGATAACATAAATTAAAGAAAAGTGACACATTAATTTTTGTAGTTCTTAGATGTTTCATTAATATTGTTGTCTCCTTCACTGCAGCATGAGACCAGTCACACAATGAACTCCAACTATAATTTAGGTTATGATGTGATGCTTTTCGACATATGAAATAATACAATGGAAATACATTTTCAGAGCAATAGTCACTACCAGAACAACTTACAAATTAGCAAAAATTATGGACACAAGAGACATGAAGTATGATGTTGGCCTACCTGAGAGGTATAAGGCTCGATCAACACAATCCTCAGTTTCAAACCGTATATGACAGAAATTCTTCTTGCTCATGCGAATCCTGGAGATGGGTCCACAGCGATTGAAGATCTCCCCAAGAATGCCCTCTGCAAGGAACAGTAGCAGCTATTATACTTTGGAAGTTTACAACATTACTCCAACACCTATAAGGCTGCATGTCCATTAAAGGAAAAAATAAAATTAAAAATAGGAATCTCCCATCTGTATGGATATAACATTTCTCTCTTAGATAAAGCAAATGTATACCTGCTTCCTTCTTACAAAGAAAATTTGAAAATAATAGGGTCAATGTACACTAGCATTTGTAAGCTCTCTAATATCCAGTGGTGACTTTGCCATGAAGTGCAATATGGTAATATGAACCTGTGACATTCTCGGGCAAGCCTCCAACAAAGACTGTCCTGCACCCAGGTGGTCTCTCCCTGGTATGAGGAGGTGGAGCATTGGGACTAGGTGGGAAAAGGGTGCAGCTTTCACAGAAGATGATCTCCTTCACATCTTTCACATTTGGGTCTTCTGAATGTGGCAACACACCAAACTGAAAAGGGTCAATGGTAGGTATGCTATGAAGCTGTCATGGCTACAAAACTGACAGTCGTCACAAAATTTCTGAAGGAATACTTCATCCAAACCAAAAGAACATTGCTACAGGTTATTGAATATATGGTAACTCATGCATTCTCTGCAATAGTTTGCAATAATATACCATTCCAAAATGAAAACTGAACAGTGGAAAAGCAGAAGGAGGCAGGATGGACTCCTCCACCTTCAACTGATCATCCTGTCAAAACTCTGGCAAAAGTCCTCATGTACAGTGTATTAAATAAAAGGAGAAAAAGAGCTTTCCAACACCATTGTTTTTGTCTGCAATTGCAGTTCAGAATCCCAAGCAATCAATGGGAAAAAAAAGGACTATATGCACTAATGAAGGGAACACTTGGTATTTTCTTCTCTTTTTTTTTCAGAATGGTATATTGAACAAAAGAGATGTGTTATACCTGAGTTGCTGAATCCACAGGCACCATTCCCATTAACCCCATCATCGCAGTATTCAGTCCTGGATTCATCATTCCCAGAACTCCCCACTGAGATAAGGCAGGTTGAACTGTAGGGGTCGCTGTGGCATAGCAGAAAGCATATCATAGGAGAAAGTAAGGCAGGCACAGTCAATGATATTAACAATAGGCTCAATTTTCTGGTTTTAAGATTTCCTTACCTGGCAAGGGACGATTTTGGGAGAGAGGAACAGTTCCCGGCAATACTTGACCATTGCTCTCACCAATGCTGGCAGGAGACATGGAGTACACAGTAACATCATCATCAGATGCTGCTCTGCTGAATCGGCGAGATTCCTCCTTTTCTCGCTTTGAATCTCGATCCCGATTAAAGTCAGACTTCCAAGATGCATTGCTGGGAGTATCCCAGCGAGTGTCAGGTTCACGTGAGCATCGACTTCTTCCGGCTCGTCGAGTGTACAGTGCTTCACAGTATTGATCGTCATAGTCAGGATTTGAAGATGGACTTGTCATATTTGTGTTCTGAACCACTTCCCTCCAACAAATTCAATATCATCAATAATATCCAGTGGCACAACATGAACAATTCTATAAGAGTCCAGAAAAATAAAAAAAATGAATGAATGAAAATGAAAGTGATTTTGGATCAAATTTAGCATGCTGGACAAGACAAAATTAGTAAACTCTTCAAGAATCAACAGAAAAAGAAGTAAACAAGATCCTGTGAGTCTACCTGACTTGTGACCTACATCTACTTGTATAATAGCACAGCAGCCCCAAATTATGAAAACTATGTTAAGCCATGTTGGCAATAGGATGGATACATTAAACTCCAAATAGCCATATTGGAATATTTCTAAGGGTCACATATGTTTCAGATCAGCACTTACCAGGAAACCCAATGATACTCCAAGTCAAAGACCTTAAAAGTGAGAGTATTTATATCAGACAAAGGATAGGCGAATCCACCTTCTTCCTGACCAAGGTTAGGGCTAGGCCTATCATTATGTAATTCCTGCATGATCAGCTGATATCTCATTCCACATCAACCAGAGATACAAAGTCGTGGCTATGAAGAGTAAAACTCATGGCTTTCTTTTAATGTAGTCATACAAAATGCTTTGTTATCAATGATACTATTCATGCTTCCTGCAGATTCCCTTCAGTTCCCATAGCTCATGAGTGACTGTCCAACAGTGGGAAACCAGCTCTGAAAATCAAATGAAACTGAAAAGCAATTGGATAATCCAGTTTGCTGATATTCATCATCACCTACCTTTAAAAAATTACAAGGAACTCCTGAGATTAAATCATATTTACTTCTATGTTGGAAAAGTCCAGTGGGTTGTTAGCACAAAATCAATTAAATGCAGTCTGCCTGTTAGCTCTCAGAGAGGGGCATATGATTCATGCTTCGTCATATGAAGGATATAGAGGGCTTCATATATTATAAATTTTCCTTTCCCTTCTTTGCAAAATGCATGATAAGATTCTGTGAAGCATTGCAGAAATAAGGGAGAAGTTCAAGTATGAATAGGAGAGCAGTTGACAGAGAATTTCCCAAATGTCTCAATGTGCCAATTCTGAATAGCCTTCAACCTAGTAAAGAAAAATGCAGAATCCAGTTCATGTTTCCCATTATGCTGATACCCAAGTGCATTATACTGTAGGCTCTATCATAGCTCTACCTCATTTCACTGATTTATTCTTCTTTGTTCCAAAACCTTTTTAATTTTTCCAAAAACTAGAGCATGTATTGCACTTCCATTTTAGTACCTCCTTAATTTGTCTGAATAGCTCTCCCCCCACAGAATATGTGGCTTAACTTTAGAATATGTTAGGACAATCAGGAAAATTATTCCATTAACCTGAAAACCGGCGGCCGTCACACAAGGATGGAGCAGGAAAGCCGTCCGAGAGTAACCCGCCGCATATTAGGCCTACTATTGGCAAACATATAGTCTTAAGAGGCCTTTGCCCTTACGTTGCAAGAGCTGGTCCATGGACGGCTCAAATTTAGAGAAGTTAGGGGCTGAGCATTAACTGGCAACGAGTTATCATCTGTTCCACACGTGAGCTGTCATATACAACGTCAGGATTGCAACAGTGTTGTCAGAAGTATATTCTCCACCTCCTAAGATCATATTGAGATTACTCATCATTAATTTAATCAAACCTCGTAATATTCTTCCGGTGTAGCTACAGCGCTTTTGGATTCAGATCAAAGCATTTGACGATGCTCTCCAGCGACGTTATGAATCGCTGGAGCGATGTTTATATATCCGAGGAGTGGCTCCTGGCACGTGTGCTTCATTCAATGACTCATGGTTTAAGGTTCAGAGACCTATGATAAGGAAGATAATACACGTGTATTAGCGTTCCATGCGACTGAAAATATATGTTCGAAGACCATATGAGGCCTGAGCCGGTGATGCTCGCCTCTCACACACCACCGTTTTTGGCAAGCACTCTTGCATGTTTAAACTCATCCCAAGTTCTGCCTCCTTGATTCCTCCACCCATTCATTTTCTCTCTCATCTCTTTATTTTAATCTTACATCGTATTTACAAGACCACCTGGTCTTCAACGATTCTACCTCTTTACACACACCAAGAAAAATAATAAGAGCAGTCTGCCTTTAAAATTTTCAAAATGTTAATAGGGCAATTTCTTTTCTAAAAAAAATTCTACCCTTTCCAAAATTCATTTTTCTCCAAACTCGTGCGTGTATATGCTCTTTCTAGACTAAAAAATAATCATCCACTAAACCAAATGCCTAATTTTAAGTCCAGGTTTAGATCCTTTTATTTCTCCACTCGTACTTAAGTTTGAAGTAGGATGGAATCGGTCCTTTGTAAAGGGCTTCTATGAATTTAAAATCCCTAAACATGTGATGTGAAGCATGCCACTTCGCCTACCTTTTCCATGTAAAAAAAAAAATTACATTGCACTTTCTATTGGAAATACACTCTCCAAGTTGTTGAATTCCTGATGATATTGCATTCTTTTGATGGAGAACCTAGGTAATCTGGGATGTCTCTATTTGCCGGTTTCGTCTTACCACCTGCATACGAGCAGACGCGTCCCAGATCATGGCGTTGTGACTAAATGTGTCCAATTCAATCTATTTATTCTTTCCCTTCTTGAATAAGTCAAATCGAAATAAATGTACCATTCAGTCAATCTCAAACGGTTCAAAATGCCCAAAATGCAAGAGAAAAGCTTCCTTCGTGTAAATACATTGGGCTCGTTTCAAACCAAAGGGGATTTTCCTTTGCCTCCTCATCTAAAAATACAGCCGCGCGTATTAATAACGTAAAAATATTATATACATTTGTCTGGTCGTAATGAGTTTCCTCTCTCCCTTGGCAACTCCTCAACCGCCAGCAACTAATATACTGTAAAGCAGCCGAGAGAAACGCGCTGTAATTCAATGGTGGCGACTTAAATGCATTGCATTTCATGGTGGTTTAAAGCACTTGATCACATCACCCCGCGAATCAACCACGAGTGACTGTGAGAACTGCGAGAGCATCACACCCGTCTGCCGCTTCTGATGGAGAAAGAGGAAAAATGAAAAATCCGGGTTCTTGGAAGGGAGCCGTTAGTGCGGTGCAAGTATTTTTTTTTTCACATACGGGAGCCACGAAGCCATCTCTCCAAGTTTTCCTCCTCCTTCTCCTCCAGCACCCACTATTTCCAGGAAAACCCATCGTATTAGAGGGGCAGAAGGCAAACCCACTCTAACGTTTATTTTTAATAAATACGCATTTGAGTGATCGACATCAGAGAGAGAGTTCTTCTTAACCCAAGATGACGATGTTACTAAGCGAAAGACTTGCGGTGGCCACGATCGTGAAGCACGACTTCGAAATATCGGGCAGAAATGAATGTCAAGTCGCGGACAAGATGAATTCAAGAAAACGTTCGGAGACGACCTTACTTGAGAAACACTTCCCACCTGGTATTGTTGATTCTGTGATCAGTTCTTATTCCACAGAAAACTAGGAGACGTAGAACACTGCTACAAGGGAATATCCATGCCGTGAGCAATTTCCGCTTTACTTCCGTCCAAATTACATTCTGTTCGAACTTCATTTTTTTCGCATTTAAGTTTGGACACGTAATAGGAATTATTGGAAGCCATGAGGCTTCGATGGTTATCACCTTTATCATACTCCTACCTACTCATATTGCTCTGCCGGACGCAAAAAAAAAATAGAAGTATCTGGGTTGTACCAATAAGGCGTGACGAGGCTATCCGGCTAACTATCTGAACATTGGTGATTTTACTCTATACCTTTTTTTTAATTTCAAAGCACCCGTTTACCCGCGTCCGCATCGTTTCCCCATCCTCTCCACTTCTTCATTCACGTCATTTTCTCTGGCAAGGGCCAGACGTAGCCGAAAGACTCGCGAGCTCGAAGAAATGCCGATCGTCACAGCAAGAAAAACTGCCGATCATCCATCAGTCGGGGAGACGAAGCAGCATGAAAGGGGCAGACAGGTCTGTCGTGTGCCAAGACCCTTCTTTATCCGGCATTTCCCCCCTTGCAGTTCCCTCCAACAAATAAACGACTCCTCAGTCACTTGCCAATTTTGATATTGACATCAGACAAAACAATTGAAGCATTAAGCAAGTCCCAGCAATAGGCGCCGACTTCTAAAAAATATTGGGGGGGGGTATGAGGGTCCTTTGCTCTCTCCATGCTGGGCATGGAGAGAGCAAAGGACCCTCGCCCTTCCACCCCATACCATTACGGGTATCTCTCAGATGGAGCTCTAAATCATATTTATAGATAGGAAAATCATATTTTTCATATCTTTCATGAAACAGCATTTTGTTTCCCATGTTCCATGTGCCGTACTTTTACTGTACTATGGTCATTCTCCGGGAGCATTGCCTCGCCCCCAATAACTTAGTTAGGTGGGCACGAGCCCATTTGCCCCCGTGGGTTCGGCGCCTATGGCCCCTTGGAATAAGTAGTGTAGCCAGGGTTTCGCCAAAGAGCGAGCTAAGGGGAAAAGTGGGGAGTTAGGAACTCCGTAACTTCCCTTCAGCCCTGGGAGGAGGAGGAGGGGGGGACGCAATTAAGTCAGAGTTGGTGGAGCTAGAACCAAACTTTGGGGGGCTTCAGCATCCCCCCCCCTCTCGATACGCCAAGTAAGCCAAGTATTGGTAGCGAATAACTCTCGGAAAATGAAACTAGAAGTCACTCTATCTTGGAACAGAACATCAGAGCCCCCAAGAAACTTCAATTTTGTTCGTGAAGGGTCACAGGCAGCATATGGAAACAAAGTCATGCAAGTACGAGAACTTTTTGGTAGAAAACCTCTAGGCGTCTCTGATACCCAAATGATTAATTCCAGGGTTAATAAAAAAATGCAGTTCTGAAATATATATATATATATATATACAAATAATCGATATGTATAGTCGATATACAGCGTATGGAAGTGACATTGCTTCCAAGTAACGCAGAACCATAATTAAGGGTATACCACATATCTCCAAATGATATTTTCCAATCGCAGCGTATACGTAAATCTGCAAACGGGAGGAGAACGAGAATACAAAGATATATGATCAATGGACAAGAAACGATT